GAGAAGGAAGAAAAACAAGGAAAGGGACGAAACGAAGGAGAGGAAGAGGATGGAAAAGGAGGAGAAGAAGGAAGAAAAATAGAAGGAAAGGGACGAAACGAAGGAGAGGAAGAGGGCGGAAAAGGTGGAGAAGAGAAAGGAGAAGAAGGAAGAAAAGCACAAGGAAATGGAGGAAATAGATAATATATTAATGATAGTATAAAGAATATGCAGTCGCAAAAAAAAAAAAAAAAAAAAAAATAAAAATAAAACAAAAATAAAAATGACAACCATGTTTTGCGATTTGACAAACTATCATTATCTCTTAAATAAGCTGTAAATATAAATAACCTGCAGTAGGATAAAGTGTTAAAATTTCATGTTTCATTGGTCTAATTAACATTTCATTCCTACACTCATTTGTGGTCCGATTAAGGTTAAGGCAATAGATTAGAAAGAGAATCTAATAATTGAGGAAATAAGGATGATGATAATTGTAATTATAGTGATAATGATGACAATAGTAATAATAATGAGGATAATGATTTGATAATAATGATAATAATAGTAATAATAATACTGAAAGTAATAATTGTAATAATAATAGCAATAATAATTATTATAATAAGGATGATAATGATAACAATAATAATATCAATAACAATATTAATGATAATGATAATTAACAGCAGCAGCAGCAACAACAATAACAACAACAGCAACAGCAACAACAACAACAACAACAATAAACCATTGAACAAGATGTCAAAGATCAACAAGAATAATGAACTTGATTCTTTCTGGTGCGAATTTTTCTTCTTAAACTTTATCTGTACACTAAGGTGTAAACATATAAAGTTCTTATAAATCTCTTAAAATTCTTTGCCTTATTCTTTCACAATATAAGATGATTTTGCTGCAGCCTTCGAAACAAAGGTAAGAGTTCATGCATGTGTGTGTGTGTGTGTGTGTGTGTGTGTGTGTGTGTGTGTGTGTGTGTGTGTGTGTGTGTGTGTGTGTGTGTGTGTGTGTGTGTGTGTGTGTGTGTGTGTGTGTGTGTGTGTGTGTGTGTGTGTGTGTGTGTGTGTGTGGTGTGTGTGTGTGTGTGTGTGTGTGTGTGTGTGTGTGTGTGTGTGTGTGTGTGTGTGTGTGTGTGTGTGTGTGTGTGTGTGTGTGCATGACGTCACCTGACCTGCCGAAGGTTTCCCTGCTTCACGCTGCTCTGTTGCGCTCCAGCCTTCTCGCTACATCCTCTCTGCTTGCAATAACACTACCATGATCCTTGCACTGCTAACACGTAAATACGATCAAAAAATGAAAAGATTAAGGCGAAAAACAAATATTAATTCAAATTATACGTTCAAGGGCGAAAACAAATATTAATTCAAGCTATACGTTTAATCTTCAGACACTACCCTTTCGTGTCAGTAAATGTTGAGACATCTCTGGACATTACCCCTTTATACATCAATAGATACTGAATGCTTCTTAGAATGAACTAATGCTTCTTAGAATGAACTAATGCTTCTTGAATGAACTACATGCTTCTTAGAATGGAACTACAATGCTTCTTAGAATGAACCACATGCTTCTTAGAATGAACTACAAGAATGAACCAGTAAATAAACATTCTGTCTAACTATCGGTACTAAACCTACTCGCTCGCATCCTGTCCCAGATCGAGACGTCTGTACCCTTGGAAGTCCTCATCTCCCTCGCTCTCTGGCTGGTAGACTTCCAAGCTCTGTGCAAGGTCTGGGTTTTCCTAACGATCCTGGCTTTGTGCTTTGGTAAGCCTGTAGCGATAGATAGGAATTTGTCTGGCTTGTGCTTTGGTAAGCCTGGCGAAAGGGGAGAAGGTAGCGATAGATATAGAATTTGCCTGGTTTTAGGTAAGTTAGTGAAAGGAAAGAAGATAACGATAGATAGGAATTTGTCTGGCTTTGGGCTTTGGTAAGCCTGGCGAAAGGGGGAGAAGGTAGCGATAGATAGGAATTTAGCTGGCTTTATTTTTGGTAAGCTTGGTGAAAGGAAGAGAAGATAGGAGGAAGGAGAAAGAAGCAACAAGAAGTGGAAGGGACAGAGCCTTCCTTCTCATAGCTCGCAGCACACTAATAGGATCTTATGAGCGTGGGAAAAATAGAAACAAGAGCCTGGTGACATGTTTCATGTTTCCGCTGAAATACAGAAAAGGCTTAATGACGTCATTCATACATGAGGTTGCTTTGCTGTCCTTTTAACGCTGTCTGTGTCTTTTTCATGTCTGTCTCTTTACTTCTTGCAGCAGACTTTAAGCATACGATTTTTTGGACATGTTGGTGATACAAGGTGTAGAGCGATACAGCATGGCAACATTCGTAACTATGTTGAGGTAAAATGAATAACTAAAGAAGCCGCTGAAATCAATTTATTTCGTAATAACTTGTTTCAAAATCAAACATCTGTTCAACATTGGGAAATGTCGAAGCGCAAGCCTTCAGGTTAATACTAATTTCTCTATCTGAAATATGCAAATATAAACTATCAATATATATGATAATACAGCAGATACATATATGTATTACATTCCAGTCACTCTCTAGAATGAAACTTTAAATACCGTAATTTACTAAAACCATTTTGATTTCTGTGTAAAATTATCATGCAGATTTTAAAGATTATTTTTTTTTCTTATATTCTTGAGGCGTTTTTATGGAAGACTGGAGGAGGCGGAGCATGAACTTACTCCATTGTTCCTTTACTTTTGACAGTTATTTCCAGTGTTTGCCGTTTCTTGGATCCACCCGATGTAATCTGAAAGGCACGAATCATTAAGTCTAAAAAAGGTTTCTTGGAACAAAAGAATAAAGTTATGAAATGAATGCAGGAGGAATCATCTTAGGCGGACAATCATCGGGGATTCATTTTCTTAATCTCACATTCTTCTGCTATTGAGTCGAAATCCGCATAACACATAAAAAAAAAAAAAAAAAAAAAAAAAAAAAAAAAAAAAAAAAAAAAAAAATATATATATATAATATATATATATATATATATATATATATATATATATATATATATATATATATATATATATATATATATAAGAATAACGACAAAAAATTTCTCTCCCAAATCTTTCTAGCAACAATGTTATTGACAATAATAATGATAATAACAATAATAATGATGATTATGATAATGCATAACGGTAATGATAGTAAAAACAATAATAATGATGATGGTAGTAAAAATATAATAACATCAATAACAACAAAACAACAAAAAAAATAATAAAAGATATTTCTTAAAAAAAAAATAATGCAAAAAAATAATAAATGAAAACAGATGAAAACAATAAAAAAAAACATAAATAATAAAAAAATACTAACATAAAAACAAATAATAATCAGGTTCAAAAAAAAAAAAAAAAAAAAAAAAAACATTAATAATGATAGTAAAAATATACTAACAAGAAAAAAACAATAATAATAAAACCAATTTCTTAAAAAAAACATTAATAATGATAGTAAAAATATACTAAAAAAAAAAACAATAACAATAAAACCAGTTCTTAAAAAATAAAAAAACATATTACTAATGATAGTAAAAATATAATAACAAGAAAAAAAAACAATAATAAAAACCAGTTTCTTAAGAAAAAAAAAACATATTAATAATGATAGTAAAAATATAACAAAAAAAACAATAACGATAAAACCAGTTTCTTAAAAAAAAAAAAAAAAAAAAAAAATAAAAGATAGTAAAAATATACTAACAAGAAAAAACAATAACGATAAAACCAGTTTCTTAAAAAAAAAGAAAATCTCAACCGACCCCAAAGCCACTTACTCCTGACATCGGTGTAAACTCCGTATACCCCGGGGTCAGCGCACCCGCTTCCCCAGCTGACGACGCCGGCGAGCGAGTGGCTTCCGTCAGCGGCCTCCAGCGTCAGGGGACCGCCGCTGTCACCCTGGGGAAGAAGGGGAGGAGGAGGGGGGGGGGTGTTGAGTGGTACAATTGGAGATGCTAAATGAACTCTCTTCGGTTATGTTATCAATCAAGAAATCTGTCTATTTCTATATATATTAATTTGTAATTTCACTTGTATATATCTTCGATCAATCAGTCTATATTTATCTCTCTATCTGTATACACTATATCTACCTATTCATTTTTACATTTGTATATCCGCATGTAGGTTATAACTGAGGTTATTCTCCTAGTCCTATTAACAAATTTCCGAAATTATTAATAAAAAATATTGGTGGTGGTGGGGATCTCTATCTGCCTGCATTCCTTTGTCGCGTAATCAGCATTTGCGAAACACGACGAGACGAGGCAACAGCAGCGCATAAGACGGAGGAACTTGGTGCAGACGAAACACCTGAGCAAGACACGACGCTTAACTCGAATATTACCTTACAAGTTTTCCTGGAAACCATTCCAAGATGGATTTTAACCACCCAGAAATAAAGCACAAATAACCGCGCAGGTAACGGATTACGTAGTCGTTAAAAGGTAGCGAAATTGAGGTAAACAGGGTTGCCAGATTACCGAAATTCGTCTGCTTATTCGGAAAACCGCCAAAGGTTTGTGACCAAAGACTTTATACGAAAGATAGGAAAGCATGGCAAAAAGTGAGCCCCAACGGTTGGCGGATAGTGTAATATCTGAACAAAAGATGGCGCTGTGTAAGTGATGTATCGTCTGTTTGTTTACTATCAAGAAACGTCACGTAACTCAAGACGGTAGGAAAGGGATCGTTTGTTTTTTTTTGGTTTGTTTTTGCTTGTTTTGTGAATGAAAAACATTAAGAATTTATTAATGCTGAATGATTGTAGAGTTTAACAGATTTTTTTATTTAATAAATTGTTTATGGAATCTTAGTTCGTATTCATTGTATTAACACCAAAGATATTTTCTGCAACAAGATTGTATAGTATCTAAACAATGAAATAATTTTATGATGTAATGTAAATATGCATACACATAATAATTATTGATAAATGTTTTATTGTTATCTGAAAAAACTGCAAAGCCAGTAGAAGTAACAAGAAAAAGCGTGATTAAAGAATAAAATAATTATATAATTCCATGTGAATTTATATATAAAGTAATTCTTTGATAGATATATTTCAAGTCTCTTATTGAAAAAAGACATTGCAAAGTTTCAACTGAAACTAAACCTTTAAAACTAAAACAAAAATTAAAAAAATATATAAATCTCTAGTCCCCCCTATAAACGTTCTCCTTTCTTAGTTATATATCTGAAAAATAGAGGGCGCTGTATGAGGTTTTGGGCCTCACATCTTTTTAAACCCGTGTAATTCGTGCTTTCCTATCTTTCTTATATAGTCGTTGTTTGTGACGTCGGCGGTAAACGCTGTTGTCACAGCAGCAGCGGTAATGTACGGAAATCTATATTTTGGACTATGTGACCGTATAAAAGAGCAATAGCGTGAGGAAAATATTATAAAGGCATTCTATTTTCATTCCGTAAAGGTCTACTCATAGAAAATAATTAGGAAGCGGAACAGTAATGTCAATCGGGACCTTGTCCGAATAAGCTGTTTCGAATCCTCTTCATATCACTAGTTCGAATCCTCAGTGAGAAAACCTTGGCTCCCCCTTCCTGTAGTTACTTTTATACAAATTAAGCAAAAGGCAACTCCTTTTATTTATGTTTCAAGATCCAGAAGTTGGTTTAGATTTCTATGAATAATCAAAAACACGAAGAGGGAAAAACCTAGTAGCCTAGAAAATGCTTCATGTGGATATCAAAATAATGAAATTGGCGGTAATTTCAGTAACGTAAATTTATAATAAATCTATAATGAAGAAAAAAGAGAGACAAATACACAAAAAACACGCTGTCTCCTTTTAAATCTATGTGTCTACATGTACGTACTACCGTCCCCCCCCCATCCCTCAAAATATCTCAGCTACTTTTTATTTCATTTTCCATTAATTTACAGTACTTGTCCTTCTCTCTTTTACTTACCTGGCAGGAATCTTTCCCGCCTGCAGCCAGTCCGGCACAGAACATATTGCCAGTAATATGATTGGAATACACTGCCGTGCACTCTGCCTGCGTCCTGATTGGCACTGTGATCTCGTTCGCGATCTCGAGCTGACTGCCACCTGCGGGATGCACAGGCCAGTTATTCATGTATATATATATATATATATATATATATATATATATATATATATATATATATATATATATGTGTGTGTGTGTGTGTGTGTGTGTGTGTGTGTGTGTGTGTGTGTGTGTGTGTGTGCGTGTGCACAACCGCATACAAATATGTATATGTATAAATACATATATACATATATATATATATATATACATATATACATACATATATATATATATATATATATATATATATATATATATATATATATGTGTGTGTGTGTGTGTGTGTGTGTGTGTGTGTGTGTGTGTGTGTGTGTGTGTGTGTGTTGTATACATATCATAGTGGCAATGAAAATTATAATTATGATGATACTACTACTATTACTTCTACTGGTTTAATTACTACTACTACTGCTACTACTACAACAAATACTAATACTATTATTTACACTAATACCACCATCACTACTACTGCTAATGTTCATTGTTTATATTTATCTGTTCATCTTTATCCATCATTATTTGTATTATAATAATTACTGTCATTATTACAAATGTTTTATTTATTCATTTATCTTTTATTATTATTTATTCATTTATCTTTTAGAGAGAAAAAAAAGCGGTGTCGATGGCAAGCAATTACAATAAACTCAATCAGGTTTTTAAAATACTATATAGAAAACGGGAAGTACTGAGTGTCTCTAGAGAGAGAGAGAGAGAGAGAGAGAGAGAGAGAGAGAGAGAGAGAGAGAGAGAGAGAGAGAGAGAGAGAGAGAGAGAGAGAGAGAGAGAGAGAGAGAGAGAGAGAGAGAGAGAGAGAAAGGAAACAAAAAATTAGATGGAAGATGGAGAGAAGAACGAGACATACAAGAAGAAAAGAAGAAGACAAAGAAAAAAGAACAAGAAATGGACGAAATTTTAAAAAAGAAGAAAAAAGAGAGAGAGAAAAAGAAGAGAAGTGGAGAAGAACGACAAGAATAGACGAAATAGAAGAAAAAGAGACGTTCTCCTGCTACCATAGTCATTGCCACCATCACCATTATCTCCATTACCACTACCACAATTACTATTGCTGCTTCCACTAATAATGGTGACAGTAAAGAACTATTTCTTTTATCTTATACATCTCATATCGGTGGTAATATCCGATGACAACATCTTATAAGGACTATATCTTATACCGATGACAATAAAGAGCTATACCTTATATCTTATATCGATGGCAATTAAGAACCATACCTTATATCTTATATCGATAACAATAAAGAACTATGCCATATATCATACATCGTGACTATATCGTATAATAATTATATCATATTAATGACTATATATCTTACACCGATGACAATATCTCATAAGGCAAAACCTTGTATGTCTTGCGACTATATTCTATAAAGACTACATTTTCTTTCGATGACAATGCCTTATATCTACGATTATATCTTAGAAGGACTACATTTTATATCGATAACAGTGCCTTACATATCTTACAATGACTAAATCTTATATCGATGACAATACCTTATGTACCTTATATACCTTATGACTATATCTTACACTGACTACATCTTGGGGACAATACGTACCTTATAACTATATCTTGTATCGGGGATGATGAACTAACAATGTGCTTGACAATGCCCTAAATAACCTATAACTATATCTTACACTGACTACATCTTGGGGACAATCTAAATATATAACTATCTTACACTGACTACATCTTGGGACAATGCCCTAAATATCTTATAACTACATCTTACACTGCTACATCTTGGGGACAATGTACACTGACTACATCTTGGGGACAATGCCCTAAATATCTTATAACTACATCTTACACTGACTACATCTTGGGGACAATACCCTAAATATCTTATAACTACATCTTACACTGACTACATCTTGGGGACAACGCCCTAAATAACCTATAACTATATCTTACACTGACTACATCTTGGGGACAATGCCCTAAATATCCTATAACTACATCTTACACTGACTACATCTTGGGGACAATACCCTAAATATCTTATAACTACATCTTACACTGACTACATCTTGGGGACAATGCCCTAAATATCTTATAACTACATCTTACACTGACTACATCTTGGGGACAATGCCCTAAATAACCTATAACTCTATCTTACACTGACTACATCTTGGGGACAATGCCCTAAATATCTTATAACTACATCTTACACTGACTACATCTTACCCTAAATATCCTATAACTCTATCTTACACTGACTACATCTTGGGGACAATGCCCTAAATACCTATAACTACATCTTACACTGACTACATCTTGGGGACAATGCCCTAAATATCTTATAACTACATCTTACACTGACTACATCTTGGGGACAATGCCCTAAATATCCTATAACTCTATCTTACACTGACTACATCTTGGGGACAATGCCCTAAATATCTTATAACTACATCTTACACTGACTACATCTTGGGGACAACACCCTAAATATCCTATAACTATATCTTACACTGACTACATCTTGGGGACAATGCCCTAAATAATATAACTACATCTTACACTGACTACATCTTGGGGACAAACACCCTAAATATCCTATAACTCTATCTTACACTGACTACATCTTGGGGACAATGCCCTAAATATCTTATAACTACATCTTACACTGACTACATCTTGGGGACAATGCCCTAAATATCTTATAACTATATCTTACACTGACTACATCTTGGGGACAATGACACTGACTACATCTTGGGGACAATGCCCTAAATATTTATAACTACATCTTACACTGACTACATCTTGGGGAAAACCCTATAAATATACTGATGGGGACAATGCCCTAAATAACCTATCTATCTTACACTGACTACATCTTGGGGACACTGGGACAATAATATCTTATAACTATATCTTACAATGACTACATCTTGTGGACAATGCTCTAAATATCTCACGACTATATCTTATATCGAGGACAACAAAGAACTACATCTTTGTGGAAAGGTATGAATGAGAACGAATATCTTCACAATACAAGAGATGTATTTGACCGGTTTCGATTATATCTTCGTCAGAAATACATGTAGATATATTTATGACGAAGATATAATCGAAACCGGTCAAATACATCTCTTGTATTGTGAAGATATTCGTTCTCATTCATACCTTTCCACATTTGTCAACATGAATACGGTTCAACTACATCTTACCGAAAGACGAGGTCCCCCAGCCCACCGCAGTCGCACTCTGGCCTGTGAAATCAGCTGAGGGAGAAGGCAGACAAACGGGCTTTATTCCGGTCCCGAAATCCACTTTTTCAGACAGCTTCATGAGAGCGATGTCATTGTCGAGCTGTGGAGAGAGAGAGAGAGAAAAGAGGTAAAGGATAAGAGATGAAAAAGAAACGAATAAAGAAGAATAAGAAATAAAAAGAAATGGTTAAGGAAGGATAAGAAATAAAAAGATAAAGAAGAATAAGAAATAAAAGAAATGAATAAGGAAGAATAAGAAATAAAAAAAATGTTAAGGAAGGATATAAATAAAAAAGAAAGAAATAATAAGAAATAAAAGAAAATAAGGAAGAATAAGAAATAAAAAGAAATATAAAGAAAATAAAAAGAAAAAGAATAAAGAAGAATAAGAATAAAAAGAAATGGTTAGGAAGAATAAGAAATAAAAAGAAAAGAATAAAGAAGAATAAAAATAAAAGAAATGAATAAGGAAGAATAAGAATAAAAAGAAATAAGGAAGGAATAAGAAATAAAAAAGAAAAGAATAAAGAAGAATAAGAAAATAAAAAGAAAGAATAAGAAGAATAAGAAATAAAAAGAAAAGAATAAAGAAGAATAAGAAATAAAAAGAAAGAATAAGGAAGAATAAGAAATAAAAAGAAAAGAATAAGGGAAGAATAAGAAATAAAAAGAAAGAATAAAAGAAAAAAGAAATAAAAAGAAAAGAATAAAGAAGAATAAGAAATAAAAAGAAAAGATTAAGGAAGAATAAGAAATAAAAAGAAAAAATAAAAAGAATAAGAAATAAGAAAGAAAGGAAGAAAAGGAAGAATAGAAATAAAAAGAAAAGAATAAAGGAGGATAAGAAATAAAAAGAAAAGAATAAGGAAGAATAAGAAATAAAAAGAAAAAGAATAAAGAAGAATAAGAAATAAAAAGAAAAAAGAAGAATAAGAAATAAAAAGAAAGAATAAAGAAAGAAATAAAAAAAAGAAAAGAAAGAAGAAGGAAGAATAAGAAATAAAAAAGCAAAGAAAAAAGGAAATAAAAAGAAAAGAATAAGGAAGAAAAGAAATAAAAGAAAAGAATAAAGAAAAAATAAAAGAAAAGGAAATAAGGAAAGAATAAGAAGTAAAAATAAAGACAAGAAATAAAAAGAAAAGAATAAGGAAGAATAAGAAATAAAAAGAAAAGAATGAGGAAGAATAAGAAATAAAAGAAAAGAATAAGAAAAGAATAAAAGAAAAATAAGGAAAAATACGAAATAAAAAGAAATAAAGAAGAATAAGAAATAAGAAAAGAATAAGAAGGATAAAACATAAAAGAAAAAAGAAAAAAGAAGAAAGAATAAATATATATAGATACATACAAGCATAAACAAACACATGCATTAGGAGGACTGTCTGTTTACCTCAACATTTTGCGATGTAAAAAATAAATAACAAACAAACAAAAAAACAAACAAACAACAAACAGTAGAAACATTTTACAAATTATATATCATTTCGACTTTCTTTTTCTCCTACGAATGGAAAACAAAAAACCCTCGAATCACCACGAATCCCAAATCAGATTAGTAAAGAAACATTTTACAAATATATATCTCGACTTTTTTTTTTCTTCTCCTACGAATGGAAAACAAAAACCCTCGAATCGCCACGAATCCCAAACCAGATTAATAAAGAAACATTTTACAAATCATATATAATCTCGACTTTCTTTTTTTCTTCTCCTACGAATGGAAAACAAAAACCCTCGAATCGCCACGAATCCCAAACCAGATTAGTAAAGAAACATTTTACAAATCATATATATCGACTTTTTTTTCTTCTCCTACGAATGGAAAACAAAAACGCTCGAATCACCACGAATCCCAAACCAGATTAGTAAAGAAACATTTTACAAATCATATATCTCGACTTTCTTTTTTTTTCTTCTCCTACGAATGGAAAACAAAAACCCTCGAATCACCACGAATCCCAAACCAGATTAGTAAGAAACATTTACAAATCATATATCTCGACTTACTTTTTTTCTTCTCCTACGAATGGAAAACAAAAACCCTCGAATCACCACGAAACCCAAACCAGATTAGTAAAGAAACATTTTACAAATCATATATAATCTCGACTTTTTTTCTTCTTCTCCTACGAATGGAAAACAAAAACCCCTCGAATCACCACGAATCCCCAAACCAGATTAGTAAAGAAACATTTTACAAATCATATATCTCGACTTTCTTTTTTTTCTTCTCCTACGAATGGAAAACAAAAACCCTCGAATCACCACGAATCCCAAACCAGATTAGTAAAGAACATTTTACAAATCATATATCTCGACTTTTTTTTTTTTCTTCTCCTACGAATGGAAAACAAAAACCCTCGAATCACCACGAATCCCAAACCAGATTAGTAAAGAAACATTTTACAAATCATATATCATTTCGATTTTTTTTTCTTCTCCTACGAATGGAAAACAAAACCCCTCGAATCACCACGAATCCCAAACCAGATTAGTAAAGAAACATTTTACAATTCATATATCTCGACTTTCTTTTTTTTCTTCTCCTACGAATGGAAAACAAAAACCCTCGAATCACCACGAATCCCAAACCAGATTAGTAAAGAAACATTATACAAATCATATATAATCTCGACTTTTCTTTTTTTTCTTCTCCTACGAATGGAAAACAAACTTCTCGAATCACCACGAATCCCAAATCGCCATCAGATTAGTAAAGAAACATTTTACAAATCATATATCTCGACTTTTTTTTTCTTCTCCTACGAATGGAAAACAAAAACCCTCGAATCACCACGAATCCCAAATCAGATTAGTAAAGAAACATTTTACAATCATATATCTCGACTTTTTTTTTCTTCTCCTACGAATGGAAAACAAAAACCCTCGAATCGCCACGAATCCCCAAACCAGATTAGTAAAGAAACATTTTACAAATCATATATCTCGACTTTTTTCTTCTCCTACGAATGGAAAACAAAAACCCTCGAATCACCACGAATCCCAAATCAGATTAGTAAAAAACATTTTACAAATCATATATCATCTCGACTTTTTTTTTCTTCTCCTACGAATGGAAAACAAAAAACCTCGAATCGCCACGAATCCCAAACCAGATTAGTAAAGAAACATTTTACAAATCATATATCTCGACTTTCTTCTTTTTTTTCTTCTCCTACGAATGGAAAACAAAAAACGCTCGAATCACACGAATCCCAACCAGATTAGTAAAGAAACATTTTACAAATCATATATCTCGACTTTTTTTTTTCTTCTCCTACGAATGGAAAAACAAAACCCCTCGAATCGCCACGAATCCCAAACCAGATTAGTAAAGAAACATTTTACAAATCATATATCATCTCGATTTTTTTTTCTTCTCCTACGAATGGAAAACAAAAACCCTCGAATCACCACGAATCCCAAACCAGATTAGTAAAGAAACATTTTACAAATCATATATAATCTCGACTTTTTTTTTTTTCTCCTACGAATGGAAACAAAAAACCCTCGAATCACCACGAATCCCAAATCGCCATCAGATTAGTAAAAAACCAACTCACGGTGCTGCTGGAGTAGTTTGGGTGGACGACGATGCTCTCAACGGATCTCCTGACGATGGCTGTGGGGCCGTTGTTCCAATCCCACATGTTGAGGAGGACCTTGTAGCTGAAGGAGGGGCTGTGGGATGGGAAGCGCGGGTCAGGCCGAGATGCGGTGGTGATGGTGCGAATGGTGGTTTTACTTAGGGTAATGGTGGTGGGAATGGTGGTTTTGATTCGGGTAATGGTGGTGGGAATGGTGGTTTTACTTAGGGTAATGGTGGTGCGAATGGTGGTTTTGATTAGGGTGACGATGGTGCGAATGGTGGTTTTGATTCGGGTAATGGTGGTGCGAATGGTGGTTTTGATTCGGGTAATGGTGGTGCGAATGGTGGTCTTTTCAAGGCAATGATGGTGAGAATAAGGTGTTCATAGGGTAATAATGGCGAGAATAGTAGCCCTAGTTATGATAATGATGGTGATGAGAATAGTTCTAGTTTCGGTAACGATGGTGAGAATTGTTCGTTACAGTGGTAAGAGGAGTAAAAAGGATGGCGACAATGATAATGATAATAATCTCGATCTTCAATAACAATAATATGTACTATTTTTTACAGTAATGTTATAAACAACAAACACAGTATGACAAAAAAAAAATTCGGAATAACAAACACTAATGACAAAAACAATAATTGCCGGAAAACAAATGCTATTACTTCTAATAATGAAAGTGGTAGCCTTAGTAATGATAATAATGATAATGATAATAGGAATTGAAATAATAATGGTAATAACAGTAGTATCTTCAAGAAACGTAACCACTCATATATCATACTGTAATAATGATCATCATATAATGACAATAAAAGTGGTATCTTGATTAATCTCAGCATTGATGATAACAAGGAGAATCGTCTTTATCAACTCTCTATCTTGAATAACTTCAGCGGTGATAAAAACAACGAGAATCACTATCATCGCTTCTTTTGATTAAGCTCAGCATTCATAATAACAGTCATGAAAGATGGAATAATGCACTATCGCAATGATATGAGGAATAAGTAGCCTCTCCGATCGGGACTCGAGCCCTCGTCGCTGCAGGCAGGTCGCACGCTGGCCCACGGAGCTACACGACCCACGAAAAGGAACCCGCAACGAAGAACTATCCAACTTCCATAGACATTACCCATCTACTCATGCGTGAGTAAGGATAGCGAAGCTTTACACACACACTCTCTCTCGTGGCACAAAGTCCCCTCAACTCACAATGTGGCGCAGTGGGCAGCCGTGATGATCCACTCGTCATTGTAGACGGAGGCGCCGCAGAAGGGTTTGTCGGAGCTACTCTGGGCATTAGCTAACCCGACAAGCCAAGGGTACTCGTTCACTTCCGTCTCCTCGCCGCCCACGATCCTGGTGCTTCGGTTGGGGACGCCGCACTCTGTTGGCCAGGTGGGAGGAGGGGGTGAGATGGAGTGGGGAAGGGGAAGGGGGGGAGGGGTTGAGTTGGAGGGGCAAGGGGAATGAGGGGGAGAGGAGGAGTTAGATTGTGGAGGGGGAGGAGGAGAGGAAGAGGGACTGAGTTAGAGTGGGAAAGGAGTGGGAAGGGGGGAGGAGGGTTAAGTGGGCAAGGGATGAAGGGAGAGGAGGGAGTTAGAGTGAGTGGAGTTTTGGGCTTGAGGGGGAAGAGTTGGGGGAGGAGAGGGTGGGGGAGCAGAAGAAGGGAGAGAGGGAAGGAGAAGGGAGAGGGGAGGGGGGAGGGGGGGGTCAGGGAGGTGGTGGAAGAGAGTGACAGAGGATAGGAGGAGAGAGAGAGAATGAAAAAGAGAGAGAGGGATGATAAGGAAGCAGAAAAGGAGGAGTAAGAATAAGATAGGTAAAGGAGGGAGTGAAAGGAGGAGGCAGGGTGAAAAGGGAGTGATAAGTATAACCGAGAGGGTGAAATGGAAAGATAGGGAGGGGGTTAGGGTGTAGTGGATGTAGTGTATATCATGTATGCGTGTATGTACATATATATATATATATATATATATATATATATATATATATATATATATAATATATATATATATATGTATGTATATTTCCTTTACAATGTATGAAAGATGGAATAATGCAATACCGCATTTTTATCATGAACATTATAACCTCTCCGATTGGGATTCGATCCCAATATACGTATTTTTGACATAACCAACAACACACCACCAGTCACAAATCACCCTAAAAGTATACACACCGACGAGGAATTATAACCGTCTAAACTAAACAGAAAACTGTCATAATAATAATAATAATAATAATAATAATAATAATAACAATAATAATAATAAAATGAACATAAATCTAGACTCACGACAGTCTTTGCCGCTTGTACCCGGAGCGTCAGATGAGTCCGATGTGTCGACTCCAGGAGTGGTTGTTTCTGGATCTGGCGGGGAGGGAAGTGATTTAAATACTGGTTATTTCAAAGCTCTATTCATGCCTCAAGTGAATGTTGTTATTGTGGCAAAATTGCATTAGTAATTGTATTTTCATTTTGTGTTAGGATGGATTATGGCAGAAATCAGTGATGGAAACGATGGCAATGGTGCTCATGCTGCTGTTGATGGTGATGATCATAGTAAAGATAATGAAAATAACGATGATAATAATAATAATAGTAAAGGTATTGAGAATGATGACGATAATAATAGTAATGATAGTGATGATGCTGATAATAATAGCAAGGTACGCATAAACAGGCAGTTCTGCTTCCATTTAGTCTGTTGAACTCAAAAATAATTTTTTTTTTCCCCTAAGAGTATTCTGACAGCCGTTAATGGTAAGGAACTCTTATCATAAATCCAAAAAAAAAGGAAACGTTTTTTCTCGTAATTATAGCGATTTCGAGTAAATTATATAAACAATTATATAGCTAGTTATATCTGATATCTCAGGAGACTCCCATTGCTTTAACAGGAGATGCTTCATTTTGCTCCGCCACTTTATTTGACCCGGGCATTCTGCAAGCGTGTTTTTCAGTGGATTCTCTTTGAAAATGGTGTAGTAATAACACTAGTAAAAAAAAATAGATAAAAAAAGGAAACCAAGAAAAAAAAGATATATATATATTTTCAATGAATAAAAGCAAAGAGGCGGGGCTTAGCTCGGAAGCTACCAATTAGGGCTTTCCTCAAAATGGACTACCTGTTTCAAAGTACCTTGCATAATGATAGTGATGATAATAATAATGATAATGACATTAACAATAATAGTAATGATACTGCTACTATTAATGATGATGATAATAATAACAATAATAATATTGTTGATAATAATTAAAAAGATAATGATAATAATCACAATGATTATAATAAAAGAAAAAAAATGAGGAAAGAAGGAAAGAAATGAATAAAGAAAGAAGGGGCCCCTCACATACCTCCCGAGGCGGTGACTGAGCAGTGGAAGCCCTGGCGCTGACCCCAGAAGTCGGCGAAGAAGAGGAAGGTCACTTGGTTCGAGCAGGTCACGAGGTCATCGTTGGGTCGCCGATTCCCGCAGTAGCTGGTGGAAGGATGTGTGGAATTCATGATGAACAGATTGCTACAGGAACAACGAAGGGAAAGCATATTCGTGTGTTTTCTTGTCCTTCCCTTCGTTGTTCCTGTTGCAGTCAGGTGGAGGACAAGAGTGTGCGTTTATGTGTGCGAGCGTCTATGTATGTGTATGTGTGTAAACGTGTGTGGATGTGTGTGTAAACGCGTGTGGATGTGTGTAAACGCGTGTGGATATGTTTAAACGCGTGTGGATGTGTGTAAACGCGTGTGGATATGTTTAAACGCGTGTGGATGTGTGTAAACGCGTGTGGATGTATGTGTGCGAGGGTTTGTGTATGTTTGTGTACGCCTGTGCACGTGTGCTCGAACGTCTACGTATGTTTGTGAACGCGAATGCTTGTGTGTGTACGATCGTCTAAGCATGCTTGTGTACGCGTATGCATGTGTGTTTGCAAGCGTCTGTGTATATTTATGTACGCGTATGCATGCGTATGCGTGTACATACTTAGAGACATGTCTGTTTTCCATCAAAAAAATACTCCTAAACATATCAAAATCCACCACACGCCCCTTCAGACCACCCACGCCCCTTCAGACCACCCACGCCCCTTCAGACCACCCACGCCCCTTCAGACCACCCACGCCCCTTCAGACCACCCACGCCCCACGACGCCCTTCAGACACCCACACGCACCCTTCAGACCACCCACGCCCCTTCAGACCACCCACCCACCCTTCAGAACACCCACGACCCTTCAGACCACCACGCCCTTCAGACCACCACGCGCCCTTCAGACACCACGCCCCTTCAGACCACCCACGCCAGACCACCCACAGCCCTTACACGACCACACCCACGCCCTTCGACCCTTCAGACCACCACACGCCCTTCAGACCACCCACCCTTCAGCCACCTCACCCACAACCACCAGCCCCTTCAGACCTCAGACCTTCAGACCACCCCACCTTCCCCCTTCAGACCACCCACGACCCTTCAGACCCACGCCCCTTCACCCACTGCCCCTTCAACCACCCACGGACCCTTCAGACCAACCCACGACCCTTCAGACCACCCACGCCCCATTCACAGACCACCCCCCTTCAGACCACCCACGCCCTTCAGACCCACCGCCCTCGACCACCCCCCTTCAGACCACCCACGCCCCTTCAGACCACCCACGACCCTTCAGACCACCCACGACCCTCAGACCACACGACCACCCACGCCCCTCAGACCACCCACACCCCTTCGCCCACCCTTCAGACCACACGCCCTTTCAGAGACCACCACGCCCCTTCAGACCACCCACAGACCCTTCAGGACCACCCACGCCCCTTCAGACCACCCACCCCTTCAGAACCACCACCCCTTCAGACCACCCACGCCCCCTCAGACCACCCACGACCCTTCACGACCCTTCAGACCCACGCCCCTTCAGACCACCACGCCCCTTCAGACCACCCACGCCCCTTCAGCCCCTTCAGACCACCCACGACCCTTCAGACCACCAACAGACCACCCACGCCCCTTCAGGCCCACGGCACGCACCTTCTGGCCCTGCAGGAGTCAGCGATGATCAGCCAGTCCCGCAAGCACCACCAGCTGCTCTGGATGTCCACCACGTCGCAGCTGACCGTCAGGGTGAGGTCGTCCGAAGATCCCTGTGGCGGAAGGTCTTCGTTGACGCTGGTGGGTTGTGGGCGTAGAGGGTGCGGGCGTTGGCATGAACGCACAAACGCACTCACACATGTAACTATAGTCGTATGAAAAGCACACACACTCACTTCAAAACTTACACATAAGATATATATTATATATAATATATATATATATAATTATATATATATATATATATATATAATATATAATACCCCATAATGTACAGACTCACAAACTAGATTTATATATAAGCATATTTAATAATAAAAAAATATATATATGTAATATACATATATAACATATACTGTATATATATATTATATATATATATATAATATATATATATATATATATATATATTATATATATATATATGATAGATAGATAGATAGATAGATAGATACATACATACATACACACATAAAATGCATGCATGCATATATATACACACAAAATATACACAGAAAGGAGATATCAAAGCAACGCCACAAACTAATGAAAACGGCGATACAGAGAGATACATTAGTATGAACTAATGTATTAGTGTATGAAAGCGCGCCAGTGGTCATGGCGGATGGACTGAACTATTTGCATATGTAGGACATCGAGAGAAATATGCAGATGAAACCTGGATGACTAATTTAATAAATATATGTGCATTTTCTCTGCTCGCATCTCTCTCTCTCTCTCTCTTTCTCTCGTTCTCTCTCTCTCTCTTTCATCCTTTCTCCCCCCTCTCTCTCTTTCATCCTTTCTCCCCTCTCTATCTATACACATACACACACAAACACCAAACACACACGCACACACACATAACCGCCCCAAACCCACTGCGATCCTCCACTCCTGGAACGCATCATATATATATATATATATATATATATATATATATATATATATATATATATATATATATAATATATATATATATATTGTGTGTGTGTGTGTGTGTGTGTGTGTGTGTGTGTGTGTGTGTGTGTACATATATATATGCACACACACACACACACACACACACACACACACACATTCGTACACTCATATATGCACACACACACACACATACACACACGCACCCCCCCCCGACACATACGCACACACAACCGGCCCAAACCCACCTTGATCCTCCACTCCTGGAACGTATTACTCGGGTAGTTGTTGGGGAAATTCTTGGAGGCGACGCACACGGTCTCTCCCGGGCCTATGGTGACCGGACCCTGGGGGATGACGCCGTTAGGACACGCCTCTGCCAATGGGCGTGGTTTGAACGACGGTCTCGCAGGCACAACACCGACCGGCTGTGGGGATGACCCACTGACACCTCCTCTGGTGCTGGTGTCTGGGGAGTGTGGGGTTGATGGGTAGTGGGGTGTGGTGGGGGGTGATGGTGGTGGGGGTGGGTGATGGTGGGGGGTGTGAATTGGTGGTGGTTGGTTGGTGGTGGTTCGGTGGTGGGTGGTGGTGGAGTGGGTGGTGGAGGTGGTGCGTGGTGAGTGTGTGGGTAGATGGTGTGGGGTGGTGGTGGTGTGGGGTGGTGGTGGGTGGGGGTGGGGTGTGGTGGGTGGTGGTTGGTGGTTGGTGATAGTGGTGGTGGGGTGGTGGTTGGGGTGGGGGTGATGGTTGGTGAGGGTGGTGGTGGTGGTGATGTAGCTGTGATTGTGATGGTGAAAAGTGGAATGATATAGGTGAAAAAAATTAATGACAAAAAGAGATATTAATGATGAATATGATATCAATAATATGATGATAAAACTTATAACGATAATAATAATGATAAAACTAATGGTAATAATAATGATACAACTATCATTGATAACAATAAAACCAATAATGATAAAACTAATACTGATAATAACAATAACGGAGCAATGACAATAATAATAATAATAATAACAACAGTTATACTAACAATAAGAACTATATCAACAGCGATGATAATGATTCGATAATAATTATCATAACAATACAAATGATGATAAAGAAACAATGATAATAGTAATAATAATAATGATAAATATAATAATGACAATAGGGACACAAACAACAAAGAATATTAAAAATAATAAGAACAATGATAATGATAGTCGCAGAAAGAACAATGATAATGATAGTCGCAGAATGAACAACGATAGCAAAGGAAATGATAATAAAAATCCGACAACAACATCAACAACTGCAATATTATAACTACAACCGCCACACTAACAACATTTTCCATCTGCCCCCCCTTCCCCCTTTGCCATTTCTCCTCCTCCCTATTCTCCTCTTCTTCCTCTTCCCGTTCTAAAATACTTACGATATTTTTCCAGGTGTCGAGGGTCGAAGGGGAATGTCTCGTTGGTCTTAGGTACTTCCTGGCGACGAATAATTAACGTTAATGATGTTTCATTAATCTGATTAATTTATTGAGGAGGACTGATGACTTGGTTGGTGGGAAGTATGGCAATATTAGAGTTTTTTTTTCTTGATTCTAAATTGTAAGTATTTGTCATGATTCGAAAGTTTGCAATTATTCGAAAGCAAGGATTTAATGATTCTAATATATATATATAAATTAATGATTCTAATAAATATATATTATATATATATAATATATATATATATATATATATATATATATATATATAATATATATATATATATATATATATATTATTTGCGATTTCTAGAGCAAATATTCATCGCCCCCATGTATACCACTCTCTGATCTGCAACGAACCCCTTGCAACTCACCTTCGGTATCGCAGAAGCCTCGGCAGGAGCGAGACAAACGCCGACCGCAAGCACGAGACACAGCGCTCGAACCTTCATCTCGAACGAATCAGGAGCTTCGAATCCCTTCTGACGGGTCTCGAACGCACGCCGAGAAGTGGTTTGTTCCAGCTATCGAGTTGTGTCATTTATATATATATATATATATGGACCATCGACACCCACACCTGTTGGCGCAGGTGAGCTGGGTCGCGCCGGAATTGATTTGGACTTAATTGCGGTAATGAGGGATGAATAATGAGTAACAAGAATTAGATGCAAGTCGTGAACGAGCTGAATAGACGTCCATGATTGACAACACAGGTGCAGGCCAACGAACGTAGTAGGAAAAGTAAAATCGTAACTCGTACGGATCCGAGCTGTCTATTTTTACCTAGATTAGTTTACAGCTTTAATGATTAGGGTGATAGCACTCTTTCTTAATCGTAAAACTGTCATCCTTAAAAAGAAAAAAAACATGATTTACACCGACTGCATTTCTATATTTCCATATCAAATGATTCTATATTCATAAAGTATAAACAGCTTTGATATTAAAAAAAAAAGAAAAAAACATCCATATTATCACGATACATATGAGCGAATGGAAGTCACTTTTCTACGATACATCATA